AGAGTCATTATTCTGTGTATAAAAGATATCTCAGATGCAGAGAAAAATCCCAGGTCCAGTTCGAGATGTCTGTCGGAAGTGATGGAGGCTGAGACCGAGGGACCAGAAACCATAGCATGGAGACCATGGGACAGAGCAAAGGAGCCACGGTGAAACCAGAGGTCAAGGCAAGGAAGACATGAGACAGAACAGAGAAGTAGTGCTGAGACTATGAGACTATGAAGCTGCCTGCCTGGACCACAGAGGCTGAGGCCAAGAAAACAAGTGGCTGAGAGGATAAGGACCAGAGAGACTCTGGTCGCAAAATTCTTGGCTGCTGGCTGCTGGCTGAGGAGACATGGAAATGTCACCCAATGACTGTATACTAACTGTTTACTGTTTACTGATCCTGATTTGTGGTAACCTATTACATTCTCTAATAGACCCTTATAATTTTGAGTTTTGTCTGTGAGTTCTGTGTGGCCATTGCAACAAATTATCAAACCCAGCATACAAGTAGAGTGTTGTTGGAATAGGTTAAGAGAAATAGAGGTGGAAGTATGTCTGCGGCAACAGAGAAGCCAAAGGAGACCAAATATGGCCTCCTTCCATGCTGTTTATGTAGCTATTCTTGGCAGTTTGGGCTAAATATGAACCCACATATGTCTCAGATGAAATTTTCTAAGGTCAGATAAAGAACAGTTACCAGGTAGCTATTAAAAAAAACCACCCTAAAACTAAAAATAAAACTCACAGCCCACATAGACAAACTGGGGTATTTATAGAGAGAGTAGAGGGAGCATGCTAAATTGGCCCCAAAGGAGACATAAGATTTGACATAAAAGGAGACATAAGACTTGCTCTAACACAATGATCACACTACAGCACAAAAACCCTAACTCCCTGACCAACAAAACACACTTTAAAAAGGCACACAGTGGGTGAAGGGAGACACTGGTCAGTGTAAGACATGGAAAATAAATTTATAAGTTATCAAGGGTTCAAGAGGGAGGGAGGGGAAAAAATGAGGAGCTGATACCAAGGGCTCAAGTAGAAAGAAAATGTTTATGCTTGACACAATGGATGTGTTTATGGATTGCGATAAGAGCTGTACGAGCCCCCAATAAAATGATTTAAACAAACAAAAAAGACACTAACATCTAGAAATATAACTTTATCATTGACCATGTACAGCAGTGAATGAAAAATTGCTTGCTATATAAAAAAAAGCAGGAGATATGATGAAAAATCAAAAGAAATATCACTTGAAAGAAATAGATCTGGAAATAATGGAATTAATAAACCATTAAAAATTGTTATTACAGATATTATGATGGATTGAAATAAAACTATGAAGAAAATGAGAGAAATGGAAGATAAAAAAGGGCCAAATTATAATAATTTATAAATTATCAAAGGTTCAGAGAAGGGGGAGTGGGGAGGGAGGGGGAAAAATGAGCTGACACCAAGGGCTCAAGTGGAAAGCGGGTGTTGTGAGAATGATGAAGTCAATATATGTACTAATGTGCTGGATACAAATGATGTACGTACGGATTGTGATGAGTTGTATGAGCCCCTAATAAAATGATTATTAAAAAAAAAAAGGGACCAAATAGAATTTCTAGAGATGAAAAATACATGAAATAAAAAGTTGACTGAATTGGGTTAACAGAAGATTGGGTAATGTTATTACGATATAGCTGAACAGACTTTCTCCATATGTACACACATACAGATACATATACTTATATATAGTTGAGCTCGGTTATCTTGGATGTCTTGGTTAATATTTTCATTAAATTTATAAATATTTCTATCATTTAAAAAAGCATATTTTGGTTTCCCTTAATCACTGGTGGGTCAATTACATCTACTTCAAGTTATACTACCAACTCATTGATGCTCTCTTCTCGTTTTCTCAACCTTTTTATCCCCTTCTGTCTTGTTTTAATCATTTCTATGGCTATATTTTCATTTTTTTAAATCTCTTTCAGTAATTTGTAATCTATCATTAATCCTATCCAGTGTATGTTTGACCTCATGTGTTTCCATCTGTAGAAAATTAGGTTATTATTTTTTAAAGTTAAAAATTTTATCTCTACTTGACTTCCTCAATTTTCATTCTGACTTTTTTAACAGCCAAAAAAGAATAATTATAGTTAAAAAAAAGAAAGAAACAATTATAGTTTTAATACACCCATTAACTTGTATCATCTATTCTAATGCTACCATCTACCTCATTTGAGATAATGAATTTCCATATATACTCGAGTATAAGCCGACCCGAATATCAGCCGAGGCACCTAATTTTACCACAAAAACTGCATTAAAAATGTGCTGAAAAACTCGGCTTATACACAAATATATATGGTCTTATCCCTATTATTATGGCTTATCTTTTCCTATTTCTTGGCATACCTGATATTTTCCTAAATGACAAACATGGTGGATTTTATCTTGAATGTTTTTGAATTCCTGTAAATACCATTGAGCCATGTTCTGGAATGCAGTTAAGTTCCTTTGAAACAGTATGATCCTCCAAAGTCTTATAAACTTTGTTATGTTGGACCTTAAGCAGCATTTACTTTAGGGATCATTTTGCTACACTGTGCAATAAAATCTTTCGAAGTATTCTACCCAATGCTGTGTGAATTGTGAACTTTTCTGCTGTGCTATTGGGAACAGAAAGCATTCTTGGCTTTATATTTGGTCCAGGGTTTGTCCTGATAATTTTGGATGATCCTTTCTTTGGCCTTGGGTAGTTTATTTGTATGTACATTCTGACCATTATTCAGCTGAACACTCAAAAGGAATTCACTGCAGATCTCTGTAGTTGTCTATGTAGCTCTATCCTCTGGCAATCTGCTTGGTAAATTCTAGCCACCAAGACTTTCTCAGACTTCCAGCTCCTCTGGCATATGTCCGGGTTTCTCCTCTTGAGCTATGACCCACAAAGTCTCTCCAGGAAGGAAGTCAGGTAATTTTACGATTCACCTCGTTTTTTCTCATCTCTTAGGGATCACTGCCTTTTATTGTCTGGTGAATAATAATAATAACATGAACATTGTTGGTTCCATATATATTTTGTATAATACTTTAATTTTTCAAGTGGGAGAGTTAATTTGATTGCTATTAATCCTTCCAAGCAGGGAGTGAAAGTGCAAGAATTATACTCTGGAAATGAGACATTTAAGATGCTTGTTAGTGGGTTATGTGTTGAATTGCTAGGTCAAAAATTGAAACTACCAGCTGGTCTGTGGAAGAAGGACAAGACTTTTTATTCTTATAAAGATTTGTAGTCTCAGAAATCCTCAGAGGCACTTTTATTGTGTCCTATAAGATTGCTGAGTCAGAATTTACTGAATGGCAGTGAGTTTGGTTTTGGTTTACTGGAATGTAAAGGAACCCTGGTAGCCCAGTGGTTTAAGTTCTCAGTTGCTAACCGAAAAGGTCAGTCACTCAAACTCACCACCCACTCCACAGAAGAAAGATGTAGTCTGCTTCCCTCATGACTACAGCCTTGGAAACCCTAGAGATCAAATTTAATTTGATGGCAGTGAGTTATTGTCATCTGAGTAAAGGCATCACATTTGCATTTAGATTACAAGTCTCAAGGAAGATATCAAGAATGCACAAAAAAATCTATAAGGGACCACAATATAGGTGGAATTTAAAGCTACAGGCTGGGTGAGATAATTTAAGGAAAACTCAAAAAATCCCTCGATAGGGTTTTTGAGACTGTAAATTATTATAAGCAAACAGCCTCATTTTTCTTTTGCAAAGTGGCTGGTGGGTTTAAACTGCCAACATTGTGGTTGGTAGGCCGGAGCCTAACCCATAAAGATTCCTTACTTTAAGGAAGGGATTGGAAAACTACAGTTTATAAACCAAATATGACCTAATGTTTTACAATCAAAACACTATTAGGGCTCAGCTATCTTCATTTAGTTTTATGTTACGAAATGCTGCTGTTGCATTACTACATTGCAGAAGTGAGTAATTGTGACAGAGAATTCTGGTTCACTAGTATTTGCTATCCAGCTTTTTATGGAGAAAGACTGACAACATCTAATTTACAGAATGAATGTACATAGAAAATAACAAATACCAGTGGACTGAAAACAAGGGCATTCCAAAATTTTGAGGTCAAACAGAAAAGGAACCAGAAGAATAAGTGAAGCAGGAAGAGTATGATGAAGAAAAATGAAGAAAAAAATAATCAAGAAGAGAGTTGTGTCAACCATATTAAGTATGCAAAAAGTGAAGGCTAAAAAAAAGTGACAAGTATAAATTTGACAAAATGGTCATTTTGCAGTTTTGGAGAAGTGGTAAATGGCTAAAGTAGGGATAGTTGATTAACTATGATTGAGAAGACAATGTGAAGTGAAAACAGGCAATAAGTCAGCCTTTTTGAGGAGTTTTGTTAAAAAAGGGAAAGAAACGCATACATGTGAAACAAACGTGCAATTTTGGCAAGATCTTACAGAAACAAGATATTGTAGATATATTTTTATTGAATCTAGAAGAGAGGCAAAAATTGATGCGACGGGGCGAGGGAGAGTGAGGACAGAAACGATACTGAAAAGAGAGAAGAGATATTGAGACAAGGGCAACCAATGCTGCCAATGTCCTGCTGTTACCTATGATTTATTAGGCAGCTAGGTTGCTACTGCAGGTGTGATAGGAGCAGGTAAATATTTCTAAGGATTGCAATAGGGTATATTTCAGAGGAGCATTTTGGGAAATGGTGAGATTCATAGTCTTATAACAAAAGGTATGCTGAATTCATTAAAACCTAAACTACATTTTTATGATATATAAGTGATAAAATAAATGCTGACAGTATTATTTGAATTAGAGTTCAACTATATAATAAGTTGGAAAGATATTTTCTGACTGCCTAAGAACTAAAACCATCACTTCTATTTTAAATGGAAACTGTGCTTCAATGGCTCTAATTAAAAAATTACAGAAAACTTTGGGTGCTTTCTAGTATACGATGATAGAGATGGTGAACTTACCAATCTTCATCACCTAAAAGCTTTAGAGCTTCTGACAGTGCTATTTCTGGTTTGGAAAATGGCCGTAGTTCTGATGAATCCATTATTTCTGGACTATGCATGACAGACGGCATCCTTTCTTTATATTGTGGGATGGCCCCAGGAGATACTGTACCTAAAACAGAGCATTTAAAAAAAATCAGAGGATAGACACACAGGTTGACTAGAGGGAGAGGAAGCGTGAGAGTACACCCACAGAGGATATTTGTATATGTGTATTTACTTTTATTGGAAATATATCCATGAATATAGGGTGTATACAAGGGGCAATGCTAAAAAAAACTTCTTAGAAATAACCAAATACCTTAAAGGAATGAGTCACTGGGCCTAGGGACTCAGGACCATAATCTCTAAGGACAACAAGGTTCACTGTAATAACACAGTTCAAAAGACAATATTCTTTATCCAAATTTAGAGTAGTGACTGGGGTCTTAATGGTTTGTGAACAGTCATCTATTAGTCTCAGGACCACCAAATATTGATTTCTCTCCACCCAGAGGCCAGAAGAATGATTACAATCCAAAGATAAATGAAAATAATTAGCCCAATGAGCTAACAGACCATGCAAACAACAGTCTCCATGACCCTGAGACCAGAAGAACTGCATGGTGCACAGTATCGTGAACAACAGCTCAGAAAAGGATCACAATAGGAGGTCTTGGGCAGAGGAGGAGAAAAATATGGAACAGAACTCAAAATCATAAAAAAGAACAGGCTTACTGGTTAGATGGAGATGGTGGGACCTCAGAGACTATGGCCCTTACCCTTCAGGAAATTCATTATGATTTAAGATCAAAAGATTACATATATTTAAGGACAAAGTTCAGAGCATTGGGAAATGAGAAATGGAAGCAGGAAACACAAGAAGTGGGATAAATGATAATACACTGAGGGGATTGGAATAGATGGGTTGAATCAGATTGTGTATGAACTATTGAATATGATCTGCTCTGGGAACTTTCACCTAATTCACAATAAAAAATTTTTAAAAAGCATCTGAGATCCTTGATACGAAGTGCATATGGTATTGACTACAGATGTTATGAACATCTCTTATATAAACTGATACTATTGCTTTGTTGTTGGTGTTCATAGTATCAAGTCTGTTCCAACTCATACCCACCCTATGTTCAACAGAACGAAACACTTCCCATTTCTGCACCATCCTCACAATTGTTTACAGTCTAATAAAACTAATACCCAGAAACCAAAGCTAGTTAAAACCTTACTTTTTATATGCAAATTTAATAATAGACCACATTTAGTATAAATACTTGAATGGTTTTTTGCCATGAATCATAGAAGAACGTCTGACTTTATTTTATTTGTTTATTTAGTTATTTAAAGATCATTTTATTGAGGGCTCTCACAGCTCTTATAATAATCCATACATCAATTGTATCAAGTATATTTGTACATATGTTGCCATCATTATTTCTAAACATTTACTTTCTATTTGAGCCCTTGGTATCAGCTCCTCTTTTTCCCCACTCTCCCCGCCCCCAACCCTCATGACCCCTTGATAAATTATAAATTATTATTATTTTCATATCTTACACCAACTGCTGTCCCCCTTCCCCCATGGTTTCTGTTGTTAGTCCCCCTTGGGGGTGGTGCTGGTTATGTGTCCATCATTGCGATCTGTTCCCCCTTCCTCCCTGACTTTATTTTAAAAGGTAAAAGCAATAAAAACCTATTTCTTAAAACCTGAAATAACCCATGGGGAAGGTATTGTTTATGCCGCCACAGGAAAGGGAGAGGGATCAGACCTCAACCTGGTGCACCCAGACTTGAAGGCAACATACCGGCATGAAGCAGAGAACCAACAGAGGTCTGTAGGGCTAGCCCCAATCCCAGCTATGTGGACCCCCTCCCCAGAAGAATGCACTAGGGAAGAAAGCACGTAAGATACACCTCAGGGGTGGGGTAGGGGGGAGGAGTGGGGAGGGAGGGGCAAAAATGAGGAGCTGATACCAAAGGCTCAAGTAGAAAGCAAATGTTTTGAGAATGATGAGGGAAACAAATGTACAAAAGTGCTGGACACAATGGATGCATGTATGGATTGTGATAAGAGTTGTACGAGCCCCCAATAAAATGATAAAAAAAAAAAAAAAGATACACCTCAGGGAAAAGGGCGGGTTCTGGTCAGAACACATAGGAGCAAACTAAGAGGGAATGAGAGAGTGGACTGCATCCTGGCCCACCAAGCCCTGAGGATGATATTCCTGCTAGGAGCAGCCAATGCACAGAAAGAACCATGGATCTGGCACCACCCTGAGCCATGGTGTTCCCTCACTGACCCAAAGCGTTATGGGGCCAACATTGGTGACACAGTGTGGGAATTGTGCCTGGTCTGACCCCCTGACACCAAGGCGAAACTCGAAGAGAGTGCAACAGAGTAGCAAGGGGAGCGAAGCTAAGAAGTTCTCAAGGAATCCCCAAAATAGACTTCAGGGGCAGGGCCTGGCACCTCACCAGATTCAATTGGAAAACATTCATTAAAGTCAACAGACAGACCTGGAACTATTTATAGGTTGTTGTTTTTTTTTCCCCATGTCTGTATCAGTGGTTCTCAACCTTTAATGCCACAACCCTTTAACACAGTTCCTCATGTGGTGGTGACCACCCAACCATAAAATTATTTTCATTACTACTTCATATCTGTAATTTTGCTACTGTTATGACTCAGGGGACCCCTGTGAAAGGGTCATTTGACCCCCCAAAGGGGTCACGACCCACAGGTTGAGAACCGCTGATCTATATAGGCTAGGCAGGATAAACAATCCGGAGCATAAAACAATGGGACTGACAGTTCTGACTGCACATGGGTGATGGGGAGGTGGGGAATGGATGGGGAGAGCCAACAAACCCAGGGACAAGGGAACAACAAGTGATCTAAAATCAATGGCAAGAAGGGTGTAGAATGCCTGGTGTGGTTTGATCAAGTGCAATGTAGCCAAGAGAAATTACTGAAAGCCAAATGAAAATTGAACATGATATTGGAACAAGCGGAAAGAACTACAAGGCAAAGTACATTTATAGAGGTATAAATACAGCCATGTACATGTGTGTATATATATATATATATATATATAAATAAAATGATAAGGACATACATATATGTACACATATTTATACGTCAAGTATTAAGGTAGCAGACAGACATTGGACCTCTATTCAAGCACTCCCTCAATGCAACACTTTGTTCTAATAATCTGATATTCTGTGATGCCCACCTTCCTGACACTATCGCTGAAGATAAAATGTGGTGAAGAAAACTGATAGTGCTCGGCTATTATGATATAGCATCTGGGGTCTTAAAGGCTTGAAGATAAAGACAAGCGGCCATCTAGCTGGGAAGGAATAAAGCCCACAGAGAAGAAGCACGCCAGTCTGTGTGATCATGAGGTGTTGACCAGATCAAGTACCAGGCACCAGAAAACCCAAAACAAGCAATTATCAATGTGAATGAGGGTGAGCAGAGTGAAGACCCAAAGCCTATCTGTAGACCTTTGGACATCCTCTCACAGAAGGGTCACAAGGAAGGGACAAGTCAGTCAGGGTGCAGTATAGCAGCAACAAGACATACAACATTCCTCTAATTCTTTAATGCTCACTTCCCTGCCAACCCACTATCATGACCACAGTTCTACCTTAAAAATCTGGCTAGATCAGAGCATGTATACTGGTATAGAGATCAGAGCATGTACACTGTATAGATAAGAGCTCTTGACACAGAAACTCCAAGATAAACCCCTCAGGAACAATAAAGGGTGTAGCGATACCAGGAGGGTAGGGGGGAAGTGAGGGAGAAAGGGCGAACCAATTATAATGAGTAACATATAACACACACACAACCCCCTGCAGAGTGATGAACAACAGACACATGGGTGAAGGGAGACAGCAGACAGAGTAAGATATGAAAATAATGATAATTTATCATTTATCAAGGGTTCATGAGGGGGAGGGGAAGGGAGGAAAAAAATGAGGAGCTGATAACAAGGGCTCAAATAGAAGGAAAATGTTTTGGAAAGGATGATGACAACATATGTACAAATGTGTTTGGTACAATTGATATATGGATTGTCATAAGACCTATAAGAGCCCCCAATAAAATGACTCTTATAAAAGAAAAACATGAACTTTATTCTACTATTCACCTGACAACAGAAAATTAACCTTCATGGCACTTATATATAGAGCTCTAGTTGTCTTTTTTTCTATTGGTATAGAATTAATGGTCTATTATAAACCCTGAGGGCATGTTTAGTAATAAGAACATTATTTATTTAATAATCAGGCATTTGCCAAACATTTTCCAGTGGTAAGGTCTTGTCCTAGGTGTTAAGGATACAAATCATAGTTATTGAGTTTCCATAGAGTACAAATGTCTACAATTAATCCTAGGGACATGCTAATAATCATTTCACTAACACCTCTGATAAGACATACTACCTACATTAATTAGTTTTGGGAATACAGACTTTACATAAAAGTCTACTACATTTCCGATTAAGAGTTGAACTACTTGCTCAAAGTTGGCAATTTGAACCAACCCAGAGGCACCTCAGAAGAGAAACCTGGCAATCTGTTTCTGAAATGCTACAGCTTTGAAAACCCTACGGAAAATTTTACTCTGCACAAGCTGGGTTATCATGAGTCAGAACTGACTTGATAGCAACTAATAACAACTCTATTTCTAGCATTATAAAAGATGAACTTCAGACATTCAACTAGTTCAAATTTGTTTTATATTTATTCTAGGAAAAAATTCGAGGGCACCAAATATAATTCACACAAGTTATTCAGGAATAATAATAATAATGTTTACAATAGTTTAACAAACTTCCATTTCAAACTGATTTTCCTAGTTGTTATTGTGATAGAATATATCAATTTGAATTTTAATACAAGTGTAGGAGTGGAATCCAACCTGTCAATTAGGACACAGCCTGATGCTGCCTTGTTTGGGATGTGGGTTTCTCCTAAGTGAGGAGACTGGGAACTTCCCTTTCTCTGCCCCTACTAAGATTCTGGCTGCCTTTAGGGGTGGACCCAATTGGGTTGCCCAGCCCTGGGAGCTGCCACAGCACTGCCATGTTCTCACTGAACTTGGATCCACACAACTCTGCACCCACTGGCCTGTGATCTTCCCACTTCCCAATTCACCTTTTTGCATCACCAGTCTGCAGCTAGGTGAGTTTGAAGAGAGTCCTGGCTTGAATCAAACTTGTGGACTTGAATTGGACTGGGCTGGTGTGGTAGTTACATAATCTGGTGTCAATTTGAAAGATTGCGAGTGAAAGGGTAGAGTCTGGCTGGTCAATCGAGATATAACCAATGAGGTCTCTGTGTGGGTATGGCCTTCTCCTGAGAATTCTGGAAACTCCTGCATTTTCTCCTAGGCGGCGGGACACACTTTTCACTCTTGGATCACTCCCTTGGAGACACTCTACTGACAAGACACATGGAACTGCGCTAGACCTCTGGAGACGGAGAAGCCACGTAGAGACCCCTGCCAATGCTGAGATGCTTACAACAGCACTGGATCCAGAGGACTTCCAACCCACTGGCTTGTGATCTTCCTGCATTCAGCATCATTGCATGTGTTTTGTGAGTCTGAAGAGGACTTTATAGATTGGTATCGGACATATGGGCTAATATTGGACTTGTGGACTTGATCTAGACTGGGCTGGGACATTTTCTCAATATTCAATTACTCTAATACTCTTGGATATAAACCTCTTCCATATATATATATATATATATATATATATGAATTTGTTTCTCTAGTCTTCCAGGCTAAAACAGCTGGGATGCCTTCTTTTGATATAAGATTATTTGTTTCTATAAAGTTATTTCTTATACACTGATGAGTGTCACTGGATTTGTTTCCCTGGACAAGATGGCCTAACATGGACCAATACCTACCCAGTATGTTTAAAAAGTAGTACCAGACCAAATACCAAGCTCAGTGTCACAGAGTTGAATGCAATTCATAGAGACCCTACATAGGGTTTCTAAAACTATAAACTCTATAGCAGTAGATAGCCGCATTTTCCTCAGGGGTGGCTACTGAGTTTGAACTACTGACCTTGCAGTTAGTGGCCCAATATCTAACCTACAGTGCCACCAGGGATACTCTTGGCCAGACAAAGAACATAGTAGGCTCTCAATAATAGGTTGGATAAATAAAAAAATACAATGACTTAAAAAAATCATGATCTAATTCCAACCAGCTTCACTATCTTAGTTACCTTAGTTATGAAATGGGATAACAAACAACTCTGTCTTAGAAGAAGTATAACCAGAACGCTCCTCAAAGGCAAGGATGGAAAGACTTTTTCTCACATACTTTGGATATGTTGTCAGGAAAGACTAGTTCCTGGAGAAGGACATCATGCTTGGTAAAGTAGTAGATCAATGAAAAAGAGGAAGACCATAGACAAGATGAATTGACAAAGTGGTTGCAACAATGGGCTCAAACATAAGAACAATTGTGAGGATGGTACAAGACCTGGCAGTGTCACATTCTGTTTATACATCAGGTTTCTAGGAGTTGGAACTGATTTGATGGCACCTAACAACAACTTCTCAGCAAATGCCCCGGAATTATAGAAGGCTCTTAAGAGAAAATTGCTACACCTTTGAGAGTACTTAGACACTTAAGGTAAGAAGATTGAAACCAAAGTTGTTAAATGAGCATTTCCAAAGCAAGTTAAAGGCAGCACTGATTTTTAAGAAGAAAGGACTTAGAACTGCTACTTCAGGGCTCCTGGTGTCAGAATGCACTTAACCATACATCCCTAGTTTAACAAGCATGTAGATATTACTCTGTACATTTAAACAAGGGATTTAATCCAATCTGAAAACATTGAGATGATGGCCTTTCAAACTGGTCCCTTCTCTCCGTGAAGGGCAGAGAGGAATGTTTTCTACAGGGAAACTCCTTTTTTAACATTCCTACCTCCTCTCCAAACATATTTAAGCCTACAAGGGAGAAAAACAATCAATTACATTTATCGCCCACAGTTAAAATGTTCAATCATGCTATTAGCCTTAGTATGTTCCAAGTCCAAAAATATACAAAGAATGAAATTCCACTTACTTTCAGACATCATTTTCTCAGTTCCTGCATGTTTTACTCGATCCCAGTGATACTGTTCTTTTTTCTCACAATCTTTAATGTCAAAAAGTTCTTTCTCTTCTTCTCTCTTTTGTCTCATCTTATCATAAGTAGATTTTGAAATTGAAACTTTAATCTGCATGAAAAAGTTGAGATAACTACGTATTCAGGGGATTGTCATGTGAATTCACTACTCTCATGTCAGATATCTATCTGTATATATCTTACATGTCTAAACAAAATAAACTATGCAGTCTTAGTCATTATTCCAGTAATCATGAAGTCTAACTACATGTTGCCCATATCCAATGAACTCTGTTGCTGAGGATATTAGTTTGTTATTCCTTGAGCAGATCCTGGGAAACTGCTGAATATGTATATGCTGTTGTGTGCCATGAAGTTGATTCTAATTCATATCGACTCAAGAACAGCTCTATAGGGTTTTAAAAAATGTTTGGCCTGTCATCTAATAGTACCCCAATCACCAGGTCTTTTGCCCACAGAACTGCTGGATGGGTTTAGCTTAGTGCTTAACCAGTGCGCTGCCAAGGCTCCTTGAATATGTGCATACACATGTACATGTAGATAGAGATGTATTTGTTTTTGTCAGTTGTGGATCAGCTCTGAATCACGGCAACCTCATGTGTTGCAGAGTAGAACTATTGTCATAGAGCTGTGAAATTTGTGGTCTATTAGAAGTAGAGTGCCAGTCTTTCCAAGGTGCCTTTGGGTGCATGTAAAGTGCCAACCTCTCCGTTAATAGATGAATGCTTAACCATTTGCTTCACTTAGGCACTATATACTCTAACATCAAATTAGAAAGTAAGTATTATTTAGGTGATTCCTACAACTCTCCTCTCAGGTCAATGCTGACTCATAATAACCCCCTGTGGATTTCTGAGACTGTAACTTTTTACTAAGTAGAAAGCTCAGTCTTTCTCCCCCGAGTTGCTCTTGGTTTCAAACTGCCGACCATACAGATTTCAGTCCAGTGTGCAACCACTACACCAGCAAGGCTCCTGTTTAAATGACTAAAGGATCAGAATTTTCATTTTTTAAAGTTTTAATAAAAAGTAACAAAAAGATACTAAATTTGATCTATAAAACGATATTTATAGACTTAAACTTATCCTAGTAGTTAAAACATAACCTTACATTTCTTTCATTCTCAGTATCAAGATATGCGGGAACACTTTGCTGGAGAGCTCTTCCATAAATCCCTGAAGGTGGTTCAAAGCTTTGCTTAATAGAAAATGTCTCCCCATTTTCCACAGAAGGTATCACTGATTGGCTGTAGGTTGCTGGTGCCAAATGTGGGCTTCCAAATACACCTGAAATCGATCAAGCATTAGGTATTTGTGTACGATAGCCCTATGTATGACAAAGTTTAAGGCAGATTCTTGCCTTCAAAAAGTAAACAATATAGTTAATAAGAAAGTTAAATAATCAAAAAAGGGGGAAATTATCTAACAAGACAGTAATCTAGGAGGTGTCATTAGCAGTTCATGACTAGCATTAAATGTGAGCCACATACTCATTGTGATTCTCATTCCTGAATGCTGTCGTTAGCTGAGTTTAAGACGGTTTCAAGGAGCAGAGACAAGGAAATAGGTTGCATTTGGCAAGACAAAAAGGAAGGAAATGAGGACAACTTTTTGGATGAGGATGCTTGTAAGCAGAGTTGGCAGGTTCGAAGTGAGTAAATCAGTTTGGTTGGAGACATGGCAGATAAAGGAGACAGAGAAAGAGAGAGGTATACTCTCCATGCATGTGTACACATAGTTCAGTTTTTATAGGTTTAACAAACACAAAGAAACTACTACTTTTAAGCCAAGGCAAGGCAAATATGTTACTCAAAGATCTATTCCCCTAAAACATATTTTAGGAATTAAATTCTTATTCATCCATACTAATTTATATTTATAATTAGGCATATAAATGAGGACTACCATTTAAGTTAAATTATGCTAATTATCACTCTCTTAGCTATCCTAAAGTTACCTGAGAAGGTACTTAAACTGCAACTATATTGCTTATTTCTCTGAATTGCTGACATGAATTTACCTCAGTTTTTCAGAAGGTAAGAAATGTCAAGCTAAGTATTCACTTCTAATTCTTTCAATTAACAACAATAATAAAACAAATTCTATTCACCATCTATGTTATACTCGTCTCTACTTTTTATTGTTCTGCTTTACTTAGGTGTGAAGAGCACATATAATAAAAGAGCTAAGTAACTTTGAAATACCTTTTCCAACAACTACTACTGAGTCTTCCGGTAAGGTATTTGTGGATGTCAAGTCAAAACTGGAAATTTGCTGTATATTTGTTGTTGACCCTGCACATCCTAAAAAAATAAAAAATAAATACAGACCTCATAGTTAAAAATATTAATTTACTATATAGTATTTTAGGATATTGTAAGAAAGCCTTTTAAAACTGATATTTTATTTCACATAAAGAATTCACAATTTATTTATTCACACAAGTCCATTAATTAAATATTCATAATGAAAAGATTTACTTTGGTCAGGCACTGGAGAGAAATCTTCTTTCCCCCTTAAGGAGTTTATATAATTCAGGTTTAGAGGTGGGAGATATACAAGCAAACAATTACAGCATAAAAATCTGAAACAAAAGCATAATTATAAAGGAAAGTCTTCCTTAACTTTCCAGACAGTTTAGGTCAAGGTTACACTTTCCAGTATTTATCTGGGTTAACTTTTAACTCAGTTAGTAATTATTTGTCTTTCCTACTAGACTATAAAAATGTTCATTTATTATTTTCCCCCCTGAAAACTAGTATAGTTGTCCAGCAAACATATGGTAGATGAATATATCAGGGCAGGAAAATACAAACACAAAATAACTTTAGAGTGAATGAAAGCAAACCTGTTAACTACTGCAAAATTTAATTAAATAACAGAATTTTTAAAAAGTAAACTGATAAGATTATTTTGCTCACCTGCTAAGGTAAATGACTTGTTTTGGTTGTGTGTGAATATGGCAGGGAATACGGGAAAAAAACCTACGCATATGAGAAATTTTCATTTACTTTCTTATTTAGTTAAGTATAACCTGAAATAACAGAAATGAATGTGCCCTCTTACAGCCCAAGGAAGAGACCTGATGGTGTCATTATCATAAGTGGGCGGTTAACCGCAAGGTCAACAGTTAGAAACCATCAGCTGCTTTGCAGAAGAAAGACAGCGCGGTTCTACTATAAAGAAGTACACAGCGGGATCCACAGGAGCAGTTCGCCCCTGTCCTACAGGGTTACTATGAGTCGGAAATGACTCAATGGCAATGAGATAGCACACATCAACCGACAGAAAAATTTGGTAGCCCAGAAAGCTATCGCGTGATAAAAGCATATCTTAGTGAATGGAGTAATTTTCTCAACAAATAGTATACAAACAGAAAGACCTATACTTAAATAATTATGAGATGAATGACCAAATAAGACAAATTTCATGAGGAAAAAAAGGTATGCTTCTGCTAAATAATTTAACTTCATTTTAGGGAAGCTCATGTAATTCATAATTTTTAATGTTATTTTAACTTCTTCTGAACAAAGAAATGTTGAAATAAATACTGCTTATTAAGCCTCCAACCAAATATAAACCAGAGTGCTTCAGACTTTTCATGAAGAAATGAAATTTTTCCACAAACTTCTGAGGCTCCCTTGTGCGTGTCAAAAGATTTGCTACACATAAACTATGTAAAGCCATTTACATAGTTTCTTTTTACTCTCATTCAGTTCATTCAAGCAGAGAGAAAAAATATTAACACAGGGATACTTTGCTAACAACCATCACCGATCACTTTCTGAAGTCATGAATTACAGCTCCAAGCTATGGCCATGGGAAATGGGCAAGTTCAAAAGGTAGCCAACAGAAGACAGGAAGGAAGAGGAAGATGGGGCTCTGAGAACAAATCCATTCATATAAATTGGAAGCTTTTAAATTATGTTCAGAATTACACTCAATAGTAATTTCAACCTGATTATTTTAAGATGTAATTAAAAATAGTATTTTACTATGGTATAATATATATACCAAAGTATTAATAATTTCAAACATTTTTGTGTGTACAGTGTTCTAATTATGTCCTCCATGTTGTGCAGCCATCAATGCTAAGCTGTTTCCAAAGTTTCCCACCACCCATCACACAAACTTAGTACCCCTTTAACCACTAACTTCATTACTGTCTCCCTTCTATCTTTGCATTGCGACAAAACTTTGGTCTCTTTCAATTTGCCTATTCTATATATTTCGTAATAGGGAAATTGTACAAATTTGTAAGAATTTTCATTATTTTTCATTCCATTCCCACAAACTTTCTGAAGCCCCCTTGCATAAGTGGTTATCATACAATATTTGTTCTCTTGTGGCTGGCTTATGTCACTTAGCATTATGCTTTTAAGTTCCATGCATGTCAAAGCATGTATTAGCATTCATTGCACTTCATAACTGAAGAATATACCACTATACGTATATACCACATTTTTTAATCCATTCATCTGTTTGAGGGCCCTTGGGTTGTTTCTACTTTTGTTGAGTACTATGAAGAATGCTGCACTGTGCATTAATGTTCAAGATCTTGTTTGAGTTTCTAATTTCAACTCTTTTGGGTGTATACATTCCTAGGAGGAGTGGGAATGCTGGGTCATATGTTAATTCTACCCTTACTTTTTTGAGGCAATGCCACATCATTTTCAACAATGGTTGCACCATTTTTAATCCCATCAGCACTGGATAAGGGCTCCATTGTCTCCTCATTCTCAACAATTTTTTTCATTTTGTTTCTGATACGTTACCCAGGATGTTGGTTTTTTTAAATTTTTTTATCCAGGATGCAAGTTTTGAGTGCCTTCTTACTAGGGCTTTAACCCAGTTTGAACTGGTTCTATCATGGCAGATAAAGCAAAAATGAAATAGACTCAAAATTTTAAAATATGGGTAGTCTGGAACACTAAATAAAACAGAAAAATTGCAGGTTGAAAGTTGTGTAATGGAAGATTCCAAGAAGTGCTGTGAACCCCTTTTCAGAAGCCTGTTATGCACAACATTTGATTACTGCCAGGACTGTGGAGCGCAACACACAGGGCAGCGCGGTCTGCGGCCTTCCTGGAGGGGGCATCACTATTTTCAACTTTACTAGTCAAGAGGCTTAGTCGCTGCACAATGTGCATGCTGCCTTTGTTTTCTCAAAGGGAGATTACATTTCCTGTAGGGTTTAGACTCATAATTTTTCTTGTTCTGGGCCATTCACATTTTAAAAATTCAGGACTGTTCTAGTGCCTCTTTGTCAGCCTTGACTTATCTGAGCTGAACCAGCTTAAAACCTTGCTTTCCCCAAAGCTACCTTCTTAGTTTCAGTTGGTTCATTAGCATTCCTCTCATTAACTTGTATTCACTGAACCCTATTATGTATAAAACAAATGGAGATATTAAAATGAATAAGAGTATCTTTACTCTTAACTCATAATTTAGTATAAAAGATGTGAGACACAGAGAGATAATTATGCGTATGATGGGAAAATATAGAAAGAAAAAAGACTTCTACAGAAAAGGAAAGTGATGAAAGATTTCTGGGCAAGTAACTTTTAAGTGAATATTCAATAAGCTGATATGATCTGGACACATTAAAGTTAGAAAGTCATTCTAGATGGATCCTACATGTACATGAAATAAAATTGCAGAATTAAAAGTGCTGGAGCATAACACATAGAAAAAAAGAACAGCAAGAAATAATACAAGAGGTTTACACTGAATTGACTTTCTTGAATGTCAAACTATAGATTAGGAACTTTATTATGTGGGAAATAGGAAGCAGTTTGAGTTGATTGTACTGCAGAAATATAATTCTGAAAGCATTTGCAGCCTGGGTTAAAAAGGGATGAAAATAAGAAGCAAAATGCCTTGCAAGAAGACTCATAATTATCTAGAGAAGATGTAATGAAAACCCAAATTACAACCATGCTAGCAGAAAAATACAGTTAGACTCAGAAGTGGTAGGACTGGACATTGTCTGAACTGCAGGGTGGAGGAGACAACAAAGATGATTCTGAAGTGTTTAGTAATTAAAATTAGGGGAAATAATTTATCTAATAAAAACAGATAACAAGTCAGAAAAGGAAAATAGGAATGGTTTTGAACATGTTGAATTTTATTGACCAAAGATCTAATAAGTGCTTTGAAATAAGGTTGGGAAATGCTAACACAGAGAATTTCTTGGGTAAAATGAACTACTTATCAAAGGATTTAAAAAGATATGGTTCTGCTATACAAAAAAGAATGCTACTAGCCATAAATAAACATACTCATCAAATTTCAAAGCATTTTAAAATTTATAATACGTTAGGGATATGAGTTACCTTCAAGAATAAAAATATTTCAATAATCAACATAAAGCGTCTGCCCCCCACTTTCCTGGGGGACAAATTACAGAAACATGAGTGAAGGGAGATAGCAGATAATGTAAGATATGAAAATAATAATTTATAATTTACCAAGGGTTCACAACAGTGGGAAAAAAGAGTTGATGATACCAATGGTTCAAGTAGAAAGAAAATGTTTTGAAAATGGTGATGGCAACATATATAAAAAATGTGCTTGATACAATTGATGTATGGATTGTTATAAAAGCTGTAAGAGCCCCCAATAAAATGACTTACTAAAAAAGGAAAAAAGACAGGACAACAAAAAATGCACAGAAAAAGAATATTCTTTGTCCTTTCTTTTCTTTAAATGAAAAGCATAATAAGAAGAAAAACTCTTATTAGCTATTTTTATAAAACAATAGATAACTGATCTCTGTCACAGATATACTGAATTATATAAGGGATTACATTTTAAGAAATCTACAAGAAAAAACTATAGGAAAACATAAGAGAAAGTTTCTAATCAAACTCCCTCATACTGTAGTTTGGGGAACTTCTATACATAAATATACACAAACACACCTGATTACTTGTACATATGCAATTTAAGATGATCCGAAATAACCAAGTATAGTAGCGGACAACTGTCAATTTAGCGTACACACACACACACACAGGCAAATTCCTTACTTCTGACTGGTGGATTACAAGGCTTCAATATAAATAACATCCAATTATTCTATTTATTTAAATTTTCTATACCCTTCAAAAAAATTACAGCTATAATAGAATCTTTGAAGACATGACCATAACATTACAGTGATGCTACTTAGCTCAACAGAAAAGAATGAAATAGTTAACAGTGGTTAGTGACAAAAACGAAACCTTCCCAAGCTCTACCACAGGGAAATTATACTCCTGTTGCCACAGCCTTATTCCGTAGTTACAACCTAACTAGGCATTTGGGAGTAACTTACTCCCATGATTTTCTGCACCCCATTTTAGTGGCAGAGTATCTTTTAAAAACGGTGTGTCTGTATATTTTAGGGGTTGTTGTAGCAGGAATTCCCTAATTTTAGCCTCTTGAACTGTTTTTCCCTTAGACTCCTCAGGTGAGGTCATAAACCAATATATGTGAACCTGTGAGCTCTCCTAACTTGGCAAAATTATTTGAGCAACAACATAGGAGCAAAAGGGCAAGATAAAAATTTAAAAATAAGTAGTTAGTTCTCAGTTCATTTTAAAGATTTTTATATGATTAGAAAAGATTCTTAGAGACAATTTTAAAAGTCAATTTGTCATGAAATGCACTAACCTTTTGGGTGCTTATGTCTTGGGTGTTCTTTATTCTGTATTTTTAGACTATTTGGTGAAATATCATGTAATTTATCATCTTCAAAATCACTACATCCACACCCATAGTTTATACGCTGACCGATTATGCTTACATTGGAGGCCATGATCCCTATAAAGTAAAAGAAATGTATAGGGTCAAAAATTATTGCATGATCAGTAAATATCTCCTCTTTAAATTTATCTGGATTTCTAACTTTTTAAAAGGTCCGTAACAATGTTACAAAAATCTAAAGTTTTAACCTATTTTAAAATTTATAATAGTTTTAATCTTAGTAATAGGTAAGACCATTTATTATGAGCTATATTAGATTTCTGAAAACAAGCTTTAAAGTTACAATGAAATAAAAAAATGTTTGAAAGAGATAAATATTTACGCTTTTACAAATGGAAGGCACTTAACTTTATAAGAAAATTTTAGAAATCAAGAATTCAAACTCTGTGGGCTGAGAGATGTTTATATTCTCAACTTCTTCCCTTCCCTCTCTCCTTCCTTCCCTCCCTATGCAATGGGTTTATCCTGGACTGGCTAGTGAGCCAGTAGACTACATATTAATTAAGACTTTGGAACCTGGAATCATGTTCTTGCTATAAACCATAATGCAGGCACTTAAATCCATAGAGAACCTGGGGCTACACGTTACTTCATTTGGAAAATGGGGATAACTCTAGATATTCTTCCAAAACGGCTATGAGGATTAAATGAGATAAATATATGTAATGGGCTGAGCACAGTGTTTATCACATAATAGAAATCCAAGTGTTATTATCATGTCTTCATTGAAAACTCACAAAACAGGGAGGGTAAAGGGAGAATGGGTAGGAAAGAGGGAACCGATTACATGGAACTATGTGTGACCTCCTCCCTGGGGGACAGACAACCAAAAAGTGGATGAAGGGAGACGTCGGACAGGGCAAGATATGACAAAATACCCATTTATAAACTATCAAGGGCTCATGCGGGAGGGGGGAGTGGGGAGGGAGGGGAAAAATGAGGCCTAATGTCGGGGGTTTAAATGGAGAGAAAATGTTTTGAGAAACGATGTACAAATGCGCTTTACACAATTGATGTGTGTATGGATTGGGATAACAGTTGTATGAGCCCCTAATAAAATGTTAAATAAAAAAAAGAAAGAAAGAAGAAAGAAGAAAAAAAAAATAGAAAGATCAGGCAGATTACAAAGAGTGTTACCCTTCTCCAAAAATAAAATTAAACTACTTGAAAAAAAAAAAAAAAAGAATAAAGAGAATCCCTGTAAGGGGCTTTCTTTCTCAACATTTATATAGGTTGCTTAGAAGACTTCTTTTTCTCCTCCTTTCTTTGTTTTCCCCAGAGAGAATTGCCTCTGACCCAAGTCTCAGAGAAAAAAACAAACAAACAAAAAAAAGAAAACTCAGCAAAACTCCAAAAGCTAAGGCAAGCCTCCTTTTAAGCAATATAAATCAATCTACATTGGCATCTTAAAGCTGATTACTTATATTACTATTTTGAGCTTGTTTAAAAAATAAAACAAAGGATACATACTTCAGTAATTTTCTATTGATATACAGCTTATATGTAAAGCATTTATAAATAATAATAAAATACAATTCACTTTGAATATTTTAACAGAAAACACTGGGGTGAGAAAGACTGGAGGTAGCATGGTTAGAGGGGGCTGCAAAGAGTACCAGTTCACACAAATTTAAGAACTATCTGCTGTTAAAAAGCAGAGAAGTTCTGTATTCTTACTTTTGACAGTTAACTTGTAAAGTATGCTACATAACGATACTAACTTTGAGTAGAAATGCTTTCTATTAAAGTCGACACTAATTCTAGAGGATAAAGTTTACTTTATTATCTACCATTCAGTAAACAGAGCTCAGCCTGATGTAATAGGTAATGGTGAGATGCACTTGGAAACACTTAGTGGAAATGCTGTTGTCAAGGCAGACTGCATTTATAATTTCACATAATTGTTAAGTTCTTATTCTTCAGTTTATCCTTATTTTAATCATTGCCATCTTATTAATTTATTTTTCATTGCCATTTTAATACTCTAATCATTAAACACCAAGAATCTTGTAGAAAGCACATACTTACTGAAAAAAACCCCCCAAAAACCCAAAATCCACTTCCATGATCAAATATGAGTCCAAATTCATAAAGTCCTAAACCATAACAACTTAGTATTTCAGAGAATGTTAAATTTAACAGGAATATCTTACAATGAATAAATAATAGTACTGTTTCCAAACTAATTCTAGAAAGATCTGTTATTTGTTTAAAACACAGATGACTAATCCTGAAAATTCATCCATGAGGTATATGAGGGAGACAGGCCCCGAATTTATATTTGTAATATGCACAGCAGGTGATTCTTAGGAATAGGCAAATTTGAAAAACACTGGGTACTGCATATAAAATATATACAGTATTTTGTGATAAGGTCTATCACTATAAAATATATCATAAGGTCATACAACTAGGAAGGAGGAGAACTCAATTCCAGGTTTTTAAAAAAATCCACTCTTTTTTTCCATTCCAAAGCTATTCTTCCAAAAGCGGGTTCTGGTTTTCCAAGAAGATCTAGCGATCCTATGTCTCTTCAAACTTATAAAACATTTGTAAAATTATAGATTAGGATGAACAGCAGAAAAAATATTTATGGGCTTTTATGCACTCTGTGTGTCTCCTTCATAAGGAGAACAAATAACAAGGGCCCAGTATACACTAGGTGCTTCATACATATTACACGAGGGAAATAAGTTTCAGAGCACTGAAGTAACCAGGGGAGTGTGACAATAGTTAACAGGATCAAATTGGGATTTTAACTGAGTCTGTCAAATTTAAAGCTATACTCTTCCTGAGTCTAGCAGAGACACTAGCTTTGTATAAATCACTACACCAGGCACACAAGGCTGAGTTAGACACTCAGGATTATAACAAGTACTTGGTCAATATTCAAAGAGAAATAATCTCTGGCGTTCAAGAATCTGACAGTCTTAAAAAAAAGGTAAAACAGTAGTAGTACCACTAAAATGTAAGTCGGCATAAGAAGGAATGGTATCACAGAAGAGGAAAAAATCAACTTTGTTTAAAAATCAGTTAAACCTTTCCTGAGAAAGCAACTGGATGGTGTTTTAAGAGCTGAATGGGGGATGGTGTAGATTACTGATGGCAAATATTAGATTTGCACATGCCAACATTCAAGTGATTTAACTGAAGGACAAGATACAAAGAGGGAAGGGAAACTGAGGATGATGCAGTACCCAATGGTCATATCACAGAAAGATGCCTTGAATGGATTTAGGTTAGGCAAGGTAGTAGGATGTGCAGTGTGGAACATATACTAGAGAGAATCAAGCTTCCCAGTGGAAAGAAAATTCAGAAGGCTATAGAGGCAAGCAATGACGGCAAGTGTTAATAGTGGTAGGGATTAAAAAGAGATGATATTGAAAGATGTTTAGAACTGAGGAATTAAAAGTCTTAGGCAACAATTAGATATAGTATTTTAGCAGAGTAATTATTATATAAAAGTCGCCTTAAAGGACTTAATATAGCGAGAGCATATGAAAATAAGCATTATATCGTAATGTGTGGCATTTAAATCACAATTCAATACAGCTTTCCTAATAAAAAGGAATCATATGCAATTCCCATTCTAAACAGACTACCTTTCTGAATATTCTACACAATTAACTGTTTCTGCCAATGGATTACTACTAATAACTAAATGTAGTTTCTGAGAAATGATGCTCGAAGTGATAAAAGACTTTCAGGTCAACTTGAAAAATTTTAGTACAAAGCAGAAAACTGAATAAAAACTGTTAAAAATTCATAACACAAAGTACCTTTTAAAGTAACCAATATTTAAATATTGTCATTCTAAAGGAATTATTGTTTGGCGATGCCACATTCTATGGCCATAGTGGCTAAATTTTGCTGTACATTAGTATCATCTTGGGAATTTTAAAAACTCTGAGGACTGGCTCACACACTCCAATCTAATTAAACTAGGATCATTGGAGATGGGAACCATGAATGGGCATAGCTATGGGCTTCAGAGGGGATTGATTATTCCTGTAGACATTTTTTTCTTCAAAGAATATATATAATTGTTATTTTTGTAAAAACAGCTTTTTGAAGTGTTTGAAAATGATCTATCCTGTGGCAACTGAAATGTTTAAATATAACATACAGTCTTTTCACTTAAAAACATGCTCTCTGTCGAACAGATCACTGAAGACAAATGGGTGCATAAGCAAATGTGGTGAAGAAAGCTGATGGTGCCCGGCTATCAAAAAGTATAGCGTCTGGGGT